ATGTATAAATATTCAACGTCTTTTTTTATTCATCATATCCATAAGGTCGTGTGTCGGTTTTGCCAGGTACAATTACCCTCTTATCATCATCAAAACTTAATTCTAATTTGCTTTGTTTCACTGTATACACATCATCCTTCTTGCTTTGAATTAAATATTGTGTTTTTACTAATTTTTTTTAATTAAAAAGACAATTCTTGTAATCTTCAAAAGTGATCGTTTTTGAAGTTGAACTTTTCACACCCTTCGCTCGCTTCTTTTCNCTTCTTGCTTTGAATTAAATATTGTGTTTTTACTAATTTTTTTTCATTAAAAAGACAATTCTTGTAATCTTCAAAAGTGATCGTTTTTGAAGTTGAACTTTTCACACCCTTCGCTCGCTTCTTTTCTTCTGATTCACCTAAAATTTTGAAAGTATAATTTAGCTCGGAGGCCTACGAATCCAGTCATAATTCTCCCATTGCATTCATCCTTCATTAATCCTAAAAAAATTTTATTCTTTCTGGGCATTCCATACTTATTGATTTCGGGATAATCAGACGTATCAAATTTCATGATATTTTGCTTCATAATTTCATAGATATCAGGTACATCGAAATGGTACAACAGACTGTCTGTATCAGTATACATCAATTTTGACTTATTACCAAACACTTGTTTAACATAATTATAATGAAAATCGTAGATAAAAGTTTTTGATAAATCTAAAATTGAAAATCCAATGTAGATGGGCTTATTGAATGTAATCTGAGTTCGGTTCAACTGAATGATTACCAAGTCATCATCAAAAATAATGCTACTATGAAAATTAGGTTGAGCAATTCGAGCTCTTGCTCCATACCTCCCACTCCATTTAGTAATTAACTTTACATCTTTCTGTTTTCGAACATTTTCCATCGTTTTTCCAAAAACTGCATTATTCATTAATTTAAAAAAGTTTTTTTCGAACTCATTTGATGATTCTTTCCTTTTTTCAGTATTTAAATCTATATACGGTTTAAGCCAAGCACCTTGCTTAAATTGCAACGCCCGGTGAATTTGCATTAATTTCATTCCAAGACTCAAATATTGTTTCAAATTTATATAATGAATTACATACTTTTTCTTATCATAAAGAGTTGTCATTAATTTTGAGTTTTTTCGATTGGGTGGTACAAAATGTTCTGGACATAAAGGTAAATCACTGTGCAAATAATAAAGCTCTCTAGGATATGATAAATCTACTTCCAAGAAATATCCTATTGGAGAATCATCAGAAATTTTAAGAACGTCAAATTCTTCGTTAAGATCAACCCACTCAAAGGATCCATATGGCAGATGTCGACTCATTGCCGCACCATACAGATTATTCACATCGTAATACATTAAATACGATTCCGGTTTATCTGCCTCAAAATTATCCATATATCGATTATTAGCATGAGCATATCGATTCACACACTGAGCTACACCCCCTCGTATACCCTTCTCGATGAATAAGAGTTTTTCCACATCAGTAAATAGTTCTATTTCTACATTAGTACACTTCAACATTGCATCGAAAGCTAAACCTGGTGCAGTGTAATAATGTAGAGGATCTAACTGGTAAACAGAGGTACAACTTTTTCTGAAATTCTCGAAAATATCAACCAAGAGTAAAACATCGGTTTGCAAATATAAATCTGAATATTCACCTAACGTTGAAAGTTTGAATGTCATCCAGACCTGATGAGCATAATCTTCATCAGAAATCCCTTGATTTTTAAGTGTGGAATGAAAATAATCTTTTTCTGGTAAATTCAATTCTTCTAACCTTTCCCAACTATTTACATATTCATAGGGGAAGACTCCTTTCCTCATCAACAAACTAAATTTTTCTTCATCATTATTATAGTATCGACGCGTGATCTGTTTATCACTATCAGATAAATAGGATGCTAATTTTTCTAAACTACTAGCCATGAATCGGAAAGAGTCAATGAATCTCAAATAAACTTTCGTTCCCGGAATATGCTTTCTGAAGGAAATGTACTTTTCTTTATTTATTGGGAGTAACTCAATAGCTCCACTGAAATCTCTCGCTAGGTCTTTTATCAGGAAATGTGCATCATAACCAGAGAGATTATGAAATATAACTGGTATATCATGTGAATTTTTATAATTTAAGTTACATCCAGCATGAGCGGCACCATGATAACTGCCAGTAAAATGACAATGATCTCGATGCTTGACATCTGTACTTATGAACGACTTTTCACAAATATGACACACTTCTGCACTTTGAAACTCTTGCTTTCTTTCAATACTCAGTTTTTCCATCGGGATCACTGTTCTCAAGTAATCGTTCACCATCAAGCCAATATCCTGTAATTCCTCTACGAGCCACTTGATACACTGAGGATCTCGTTTGAGTTTAAATTTAGACAGATCATCATTAAAAGAGCACTTTAGATAAAAGGCTACACTGTGAGGAATGTGTTTTTGACGTAACATTCCATCTTCATTTCCATTATCATCCCCATTTATTGACTCTAGAATACATTCCAGATCAGCATAAATGACAAATGGTACAGTCTCTTTGTATTTATAATTCTTAAAGCTCAGCAGATTTTCACCTTCCCTTGGTAGCACAGTTTTACAATGATTTATAGCAAAACAATCCTGCTGATGCCTTTCATAACTCCTTTTTTCTTGAAAATGACATAAACAACGATCGCACAACCATGTACGATGTGCATGACTGGAAATTTGAGCACTCACAAGTCGAGAGAGATCACGAATCCATGCGAAATGATAGATTGGCTGGATATCACCTGCAACGTGAATCGATGAACAAAACAGAAGTAGATGAATTGTAGGTCTCTCTGACTTCACAGAACTGAGATGAAACGGTACGATTTGGCTATTTTCATCATCACTTGCCCCTTCGATTCCATATACATTGATGGATAATCCATTTTTGCTCTCAAACTTTGCAACATCATTTAGAGCAATTGGAAATTGAAGATTTCTGTAGTCCAATTTAACATTAGTATTTGGAATTTTAGCGGTTGAATAATGTGGATAGGAGCTCGTCACACACTTGTTAGTATTGACTGGATGAAGAGCAGCTATGACCGACCATAAAAAACAGAATTCGTCTGAATTCTTTAGATTGACAACAGCTTTCTTGCACTGTATATCATGAGGTAGCTCAGTATAGGTTGAAATGCCAGCAGCTAATGGTATATACCGATTCATATTGATGACTAGATGAATTACCTCAACTAGATTCCAACCGGAATCTCGCTCTTGGAAATCTTCAATTTTTGTCAATAAACATTCTATAACATTGACTTCGAACCAGTCTCCAATGTCTGTGTCTGGTAAAATAATTTCATTTCTCGTGCTGAAAAACTTTGTCTCTTGAACTAATTCCTCATCTCTTTTCACTTCAAATTTACAAGCTAAGATAGAATTCACTTTCATATTTCCAGCACTTTCAAGCACATTTTTTAACCGCACAGTCGCCAGTTTTTTTGCATCCTTAAGGAATTTCAATGGATCTTTATGATGGAGATTCACTATGGTACCAGTACGAATTCGCCCCTGAAAGACAGATTGTAAATCCTTCCATCGTACTCGTTCTGTGAGCTTCACACTGTGTGGGAATGGATCTAGTCTGCCTCCTCGATGCTGCTTGTATCTAAATTTCTCTAGATAATATTCGATTGTTGCAATTGTGGCTTGGACTTTATTCTTTTCTCCCACTGAAAGATTTACTTTTTTCAGAACTTTTCCATAGAGTTTAATATAATGACCACACCAGTCCATCCATCGCTGTGTTTCATGTAGGGATGCATTTTTGTATGCATACTCGAGAATCTCGATCACTCTCTCAGTTTCCATCTTATCCAAGTAATGAAGCAACACTGACAAATCGTGAAATATCTCGAGCTTATTTATAGGCTCGTTACCCCCCATCAATGCTAAAATTCCATCCAAGAATTTGAAAGAATGTTGTACGTCCAGTATCTGTCAGTTCCCACGCGAGGGTATTAGATAAGCAAATTTCAGTTGAATTCTTTAGATAAATCGATTTCTAGGAACAGTTGACCGTTACAGATATGAATCAGTCTGGATTCATCATCTTCAAAGGTACTTTTACCGAAAATTTTCGCGAGTGAGAAGTGGGGGAATACTGCCATTCCCACGCATCTTTGCTATATAAGCTGAATGTTCAAACGATTACCCAGACAGTCTCCTGATACTATTTGAGAACGAAGTGCTTTTCGAGTAGTTTGAATAAATAAATCTTTCTGTAAATCCGAACATTATTCTCAACTGAAGTGTCTGAAAATGAATTGTGATAAAATCAATAAAATTGCATCTGCAACTACTTTTTTACCAACTAAAAAAATCAAAGATATGAAACTGGAGTACCAGTACCAAGTCACTGGGTTTCAAAATGCTAAAACCACATTTGGACTGAAAGTTTTAGCTATCATCGACGGAGAGTACACCGTTTGGCTTTCCAAACGTGTTTCAGAGGCATTCCTGGAGGATAATGAGGAGTACCAGAAGTATAAAGAAGCTGCCAAATCCAACAAACTCTTCATCAAGTTTTCTGAGGGCAAGTGGAATCCATGCACGTTCACCATCGCTGATGACTGACTCCAACGATTCAGATCTTGAAATGTATATCATTGTACCATCATTATTATTATTATTATTCATAAATCATCTGTATGCGAATGTACTTATCAGAAATTTATGTTGAATAAATTGTGTTAAGGAAATAAATTCCATTGTTTTTTTTTACAGTTTTTCGAATTCTCCTTAACCTTAACGTTTTGGCTAGATTGAAAATAGAATAGATATTGGTGATGTGATGAATTTCTCGCTGAGTGACGGATAATAAATATTGAAATTGTTAACACTAATTCGATTCCATAAATCCGTAGGGAAAGTAAGTGCGAAAAGGACTAATAATCAATTGTTACTTTTATTTATACAAGAACATGTAAGGAACTTTTTTCATTAATCTAAAACAGATTTAGCTTCACTTTGAACTCCATGGTTTTCCGTTGTTTGAGATGTTTCACCAACATAGAGGGATGTTCCTCCTGTTCCAGCCATCGTGATACGGCATCACGTCTCTTAGTTTGAACCATGAGGTGTTTCGGATGTGACCCCTCAAACTCCAAGTCTCGAGCAATCCTCACTCGTAGAACTTTCTCCAAAAATACTCCTCCTATCGCTTGAGATGCATCTAGACGAACAACGAAGATTGTCACACACAATGATGAGGAAAATTTGTTCAAAAAACGGTGCAAATTCAGTAAAATCGTGTAAACTTTAATCGAACTTCTATTTGATATTCTATTACTTCTAACGATTCTATGGAAAATTTTCACATCTTTTCAATGCATCCATTCATTTATTTCTTAGTAGAAAATCTTCACTAGAATTTATTTTATGGAAAAATCTGTAGAATTTTATTTTTACACAACTTCTCTTTTTTATTCCTTTCACACCATTTGAAATCGCTTCTCATTGAAAATTGAAAGAAAAATCTTGAAATGTTTGCAGTCAGGAATATTTCTATGGAAAAAATCTCAACAGAAATGAGGCAAAACTAACAGAATTTACAGAACACGTTCAACAGATAGTCAATATCGTTTTCTCATGAATTTGATAGTTTTTCCATAATCCTTCCTTCGGTTTTGATAGCTAGGTTTTGAAAAATATCGATATTTGATTTTTAAATTTCACCTTTCATTACACTTGTTAGTGTGACATATGGAGATGAAGTTGAGTCTACACGTCTCCCATTCGTAAGAAGATGTGTCTCATACTCATGCTTGTTCATCTTCCCTTCCAATATCTTCCTCAAGATTGAATTCTCCTTTTCACGACATTCAACATTATCATTGACGTCTAACATCTTCTATAACGATGCAAATTGATAGAAAATAAATTAAATTGATATCCAAAAGAATCCTATATAATTCTCTACAAACGTAGGAATATTAGACACTTACACTCTCCATAGTACACTTTTTCTCACTTTGAATTTCACTGAGTGTTGAACCTATCACTTGCATGTGTCACCGACAACGTTTGGAACTAGTCTGCTGGACCAAATGAATTGGCTTCTTATGGTGAAATTTTCATTTTCGATAGTACAATGACGCACTGAGGTATATTCAAATAGTGATGTTTACGGAACGAGAGAGAAGTCGGAAGGAAGGATAATGGGTGAATAGAATCTGACACCTCGAATAAACAAAACTCAAATATTTTTTCTCTGATCCATTCTGTTTCTTCTTCTTCGTTTATTCATTTCAAAACAACGATAAAAAAATTACATCTCAGAATATTTATATGCAACGTGGATACAGAAATTTTTATTGAAAAACACTGAATGTCAAAGTACTGTATGTAGATGAAAAAAGTTGCTGACTCGTGTTGGCAATTGGATTATCCGAGAAATCCAATGGAATGAGAATAGCTCATCAGGTTAATATCTGCAACAGAAAGAATTACACAAAATTGAAAAAACTATCTGAGGAGAAATAAAAATCACAATAGGCACACGAACAAAAATTTCTAATAGAAAACTCTAAAAAATTCTATGGGAATTTCTATAGAACTTCTATTGAATTTTCTATACGTTTATTGTCGTTTCTATTGACATGTTCTATAAGAAATATTATATATATAGAAAAATTCGATAGATTTTTCTATAGAATTTTTTGCCTCAAATTTTCTAAGTTTGTTCGATAATTTTTATTTCCTCCTCTTCAAGAAAATCAAACAAAAACTTAGAAAATTAGAACCGAAAAAATTCTATAGAGTAATGACACTGTATAGACTTTTTTTTCAATATAATATTTCTTATAGAACATGTTCATAGAAACGGCAATAAACACATAGAAAATTCAATAGAAGTTTCATAGAAATTCCTATAGAATTCTTTAGGGTTTTCTATAAAAAAATTTCGTACGTATATTACCTCTTCAATTTTCATTTTAGCTGATTGCAATTTCATTAAAAATAGAATAGATGGTATTATCCCAAATAAGTATAGAATGCTCAGAAAAACGGGACGTTGCATTGAAAATCATTGAAATAATTGGAAAAATATTATAGTTATGAAGTTCAAATTTACCTATTGATAAATAAGCTGAAGTTGTCCTAAGCGTTTCGCCTCTCGAGTTATTGGTTCGGGGATGAAATGAAGATGACCGTGCTCACAGACAATCAGCCTAGCTCGCACTCCAGCATGCATCATGAAGGACCCGTTGCGTGGATGTCGTACTGCAACTCGACGAATCGTTTCCTCCAGTCCCAGAATATTTTTTGGGAGTATCTTTCTCCAAGCCATTGGAAGGAACACCGGTGTGGGTGGTGAATTGTCAGTATTGACGTTCGTTGGAACTTGGACGTGGAAATTCCTATCTACCTTAACTGTACGCGATGTAATCCATTTCATTGGCAACTTTGGAGGCACCCCAGTATTTGGTCCTGGGGGTGGGCTTTCCGGAGACTCAGGCACTTGAGCGACTGGCTCTGATGAGGGTCCCACTGGAGAATCAACCCTCCCGGTTGCTAGCTCTGTACATGGAACCTCAACTTTAATAGTTGTCATGGACCCATCCATGTCTCCAGTCCGAATAGAGTTAGCAATTTTCTGAGTCTGCTCAGGCACCTCAACATTCCTTGACTCTGAAACGACTCCAGAATTCTCCTCTATGTCCGGAGTGGACAACGGCGAAGCCAAGATCTCAATAACATCCTCATGAGTCTCATCATCAAAAGTCCTACTGTTGACAGATGGTTTGATGCTCAAGTCCATTGGCTGAGTGCTTTTGGTGGAGTCCATCCTAGCCTGCTTCACTGTAGGAGTCTTCTCAGGTGATTGGATGATTGGAACACATGCTGAATGGAAACGTTTTCGAATTGAAGCTTCCATCAATATTCTTGCCACTTCCATACCCTCAGGTGAGAGAGGTCTCTGAGCAGCCTCCAGCAGATTCTCACACTTCCTGATATCCATTTTTGTTCACTGTCACGACTCTTGTCACTTCACAAAACTTCAACGTACTAATGACCACGTAGTTCGGCTGTAGAATTCGTATATGCTCTAGCAAGATTGCGGGGCCCGCTTATAAAGCCGCGAATGTTTACGAATTGAGTGGGAATGGGAGAGGGATAATGAGTGGAGGACCCACGTGGATATATTCCAATCAAAAATGTTCGTAAAAACTCAAAAAAACCACCGTATTGATTCTCTCTAGATTTTCTATGCTAAACTTTTGTTTTCGCACCAACCCTAATGAATTTTCATAGAAAAAAATATGAAAATCTTCATTTAAAACGGAGATTATGATTTCGCTTCTACCCCCCACTGCTCACTCTCCTAGCGAGCATGCGGTACACTGTGACTCACATCGCATGCACTGTACATCCCCACTCCACGATCCATCAACTCTCCTCTCATCGTTCATCAGCTTCAGAATTTATCCAATCATATTGCAAATCTATGAAAACTGAACGTTTACAAAGAAAATAAAAAATGGGAACAATTTTTGGATATAAATTCATGAAATGAGTGGTTATACTAAATTCTCCGAGTTATTTCCATCGCGAAATTTATATTCTCAAATTTTTCAATAATAAAAAGTAATTCAGAGGATTTCTTGAGAAAATTTTTATTCATTTGATTGGGGAGGAAATTTGCTGGGAATCTTTATTTGAAAATTGTATTCCGCGCTTTCACACTTCTCCCCACTTTCCATACTCAGAGTCAGCGTGTACCTACGCGCAGTACATACTACAAGCGCCTGCCTCCCCTCTTTTCCGCTCTGAGTTGCATGCATTCAACACTCACGTACCAAAATTGT